TGGTTTTATTGTTGTGTTACATGATGGAGAAGGAAATATGAGTTGAGCATGTTTTTCTGTAGCCAGGGTTACTGATCAGTGTTTTACATTCTCCTCAAAGGCAAATTTTAAAGCTAAATTTAAGGGAAGAACATGCTCTTTGTTTTCAAATTAGGGTTTTATACTTTCCTTTCATTGTATACTCATTGCTAATGTCTCCCATTGTTTTGGCTTCTTCCTTTCTCCAGGTTTAGTTTATTAGACAGAGATAAACTTGGTCCCCCTCCCCCATGTGTCCATACATCATATTGTTTGAAGAACTTGAGCAGCTCTCACTGATAGCTGGAGAAAGGAGAATGTTTTTTGGTATATTGTTAGGAGCTAATTAGAATAGGTTTTGTTTTTAGTCTAAAGGCACTAGAAAGTTATTCTACAACTTTTATTTGAAGTTGTGTGTATGGAAACTGCAGCATTGCTCTAAAGCAGATGTTACTGGAAGAAACCAGATTTGTGCAGCTATGGAGTATATCCTGTCATTTAGGTTTCATTTCAGGGACTATGGTAGAAAGAGTCTCCATTTAAGCTACTTGTGTCCTCCCACCTGAGCTGGCATATGCCCTCCAGCAACGGCAGTCCTAACAAAGTTAAATGGGCCTTGGGTATGAGGCAAAGTAAGGGAGTAGGAGAAGAGAGATCTGGGGGGTGATGGGGTGGAAGCTGGAGCTCTGGGACCAGAGTGGATGAGGAGGACTGTGTTAGTCTTCTAGAGCTGCCGTAACAATACCACAGACTGGATGGCTTAAACAACAGACATTTATTTTCTCACAGTCTGGAGACTGGAAGTCCAAGATCAAGGTGCTGGCATGGTTGGTTTCTGGTGAGGCCTCTCTTCCTGGCTTGCAGACAGATGGCTTCTCACTGTGACCTTAAGTGGCCTTTTCTCTGTGCACACACACTCCTGGTGTCTCTTTTTCATCTTATAAGGACACTAATCCTATGGATTACAGTCCTACACTCATGGCCTCATTTAACTTTAATTACCTCCTTAAAATGTTTCTCTCCAAATACAGTTACATTGGGGATTAAGGCTTCAACATATGGATTTTGTGGGGGACACAGGTCGGTCCATAACAAGCACCTGCACAGCCAACACTCCCTCACAGTTGTACCAATAGCTGCGTGGCTTTGTCAGTCACTGGTAACCTGGTTCAGGAGTAACGACTGGATTTGCTTGTTGTGTTGAAAAACCAAGACTGGAGGATAATCTTACTCAGGTGGGGAACTGAGATCAGGCAGCCTCAGGAAGGTTCAGGAAAATCTTCAGGGCTAGAGAAATTCTGTTTGAATTAGAAATCCTTACTCATTCCTGGCACCTACAAGTCAGGAAAAAGACAAGGAACCTTACAGGTGACCATCTTGGTGGAGGTGAGCATTCCAGGGTAACTACAGTAGTCCCCCCATGTTCCAAGACCCCCCAGTGGATGCCTGAAACTGCAGATAGTACCATACCCTATATATTCTATGATTTTCCTATGATAAAATTTATTTTCTAAGTTAGGCACAGTAAGAGATTAACAACAATAACTAATTATAAAATAGAACAATTATAACAATATACTGTAATAAAAGTTATGTGAATGTGGTCTCTCTCTCTCAAAATACCTTATTGTACTGCACTCACCCTTCATCTTCTTTGATGATATGAGATGATACAATGCCTACGTGATGGGCGAAGTGAGGTGAGTGACGAAGCCATTGTGATGTAGCGTTAGGCTACTATTGACTTTCTGAGGATGGGATATGTCAGAAGAATGATCATCTGCTTCCGGACCACTGCTGACCATGGGTAACTGAAACCTCGGAAAGAAAAATGGAGGTTAAGGGGACTACTGTATCCAGAGTGTGATAAACCATTCATCCAGTTTATCATGTTGCTTCTCTCTTATGTGCCCCAAGCCAGGACACATGTTAATTTCAAATGAGGCCTTTTCATTGGCACCAAGCTTTGTGAGTGACTGATCACCTCATTGAGGGTGAATTTAGGATTTAGTAGTTCATTTTAGAAATATGCGGTGGGAAATTAATGTCTCCTTTAAAATACATGGCAGCTAATTTATATGAATCATTATAGCCCACTGAGCATATACGTCAAGGTCTCCTGCAGTCAAGATGTTCGATGCTGCTAAGCAGTGTTTTGACATTTGAGAGATGAAGGCAGTCAATCTATAGTTGATGATGATTACTTGAAATATAAGGCAAGGCTTTTGTGTTTTCATTTATATTTTTAAAATATTCCTGAAATTAGACTATAAAATCACCTCCTTTTGAAATAATAAAACTCTGTGTATATGACATGTACAGCACATCCCTTCAATGACATTTTGAAGCAAACCCGTTTCTGGAGGTTCAATATTTTCTTAGGAAAACATTCTTGGAAATAAAACTTTGGTCAAGCATTTATTCTTTGATTTAACAAATATTTATCGAGTGCCTGCTATTTGTCAGACACTGTACCTAGTGCTGACGAAATCAGAGAGATAAGTTGCTTACTCTTGGGGCTTATATTTCATGTGGGAATAAACATTGAACAAATAAATACAAGAAAGAAAGATCCACCAATAGTCAGTGCTATGCAGATAGTTAAAATAGGGTGATGTGAAAGGTGGCCAAGGGATGTCTATTTGAGGAGGAATGCTTAAGGCACCGGCCACGCACTGCTCAGGACAAGGGCACGGCGGACAGAGGGACCAGCAAGTCAAAAGTTTCTACAGCTGAAACAAGCTTGGTGTGTTTAAAGAACTGAAAGAAGGCCACTACTGCTGGTGCACAGAAGGTGAGAAGAGAGAGTGGTATAAAATGAGAAGTTTGGCAATGTAGCTGGAACCAAGCATTGTAGGACTTGGGAGAAGTGGAGAGTTCTGATCTGATCTTAGTGCTGTTGGAAACTACTCAAGGTTTTTGAAATACCTGCTGTGAGGAGAATGGATTGCAGTGGGCAGGAGTGAAAGCGTCAAGATGTGTAGAAGGTTATTGCAATGGTCCAGGATGGAGATGAGAATGGTTTACACTAGGGGGGTGGTATTCAGGATGGAAAGAAGGTCATGGATGTGGGTTACGTTTGGGTTGTTTGGGTGGATGGTGGCATCTTTAACTAAGCTGGAGAAGTCAGAAAGAGGGGCAGGTTTAGGGAGAGAAGACGGAGGGAGTAGAAATTATGATTTATGTTTTCCTTTGCAGAAGACCTTCCTCTCCATAACTTGCCCTAAAGTTTGACATTTTAAAAAATCTTGAACTTTTATTTTTAAAATTGATTGTTATCAATCAATACTCTTGTTTTTAAAAATAATTAAAATTTATTGGCTAGTCTCCAATGTTTTATCCTTCCTGTAAACTTTAAGATCACTTTATCCAATTACGTCTTGCCCTCCCTACCCACAGCCAACATAAAATGACAACCTCCATTGGAAGTCCAGTTAGAATGACATTGAGTTTATTTATTAATTTTGGGAAATTTAATCTTTTTAATATGTTGTTTTCCCATTCATGAATATGGTGTATCTTTCCATATGTTCACAAAATTTTATAATTTTATTCATATACATTCTGTACTTTTTTTGTTAAATTTATTCCTAAGTATTTTTAGTATTTGTTGCTATTTTGAATGTTTTTCTGAATATCATTTTCTTTCTTTGGGTGATTTATAGTTGAATCAGAGAAAAAGTATTGGTTTTTAAAAATTATTTGTATTATACTCCATACCCTACCAAATTGTAGGGTATGACTAGAAATGACTAGAACACT